GGGGGTGTTGTAGTATCACGAGAGTACGTCATAGGCCCACGATGCTGCAGTATACTCGCGAGGTAAAGATACGGAATAATACGTTTACGCATCAATATAAATCCAACCACGCGGACCGAACTCTCGATTTTTTAATCAACCAGGAAATCGTTTTTCAAAACAATTTTACATTATAGTTAAGATCGTCAGTATGTATTAGATTGAAAATTATTCTGGATATATTTTACGCAACAAACATTTATACAGTACAATTTAATAATAATACAAATAATATACTCAGTCGTTTAATAATTATAAATAACAATTAATTGATAATGGTCGAAATATTGAGAGCACTATTTGTTATTAAAAAAAGTTGTCAAAATATATGTGTTGATTTTATTTCAGGTTTTATCACAACGACACGTCATTATTGTAATACATGCCTCGCGGCACACCGTGCAGACGTAGTTTGGTCGTAAAAAACATATTTAAGTTAACGAATATTTTTATGAACTATAATAAATACAAATATACGTATAAAAATAATATCGATAGTCGAGACACCTATGGACTTGGACCACAAAACATTGTTTGCGAAACACTATATAGATTATGAAATGTTGAAATCTCTGGACGATAATATTGTAGATAGAGAGAGAGGGAGAAAGAAAAACAATAATCAACCGAAATGGTTGTTATAACACTGAATGGGATGGAACCGTCGGAATGAAGAGAAATAAAACGAAATCGGTCGGCGTTTTAAATTTTACAAAAGGATGATGACTACCGTAATGCGCCAGTCGTAAATATAAACCAGTTCTGGGTGGTAATGTCAACCAGATTCGCAAACTATTTAACTGCACGCATAGACATAATATATCATTCGTTATACATAGGTGTGTTGCCGTGTTGGTGTGCATATATATAAATATATATAATACTAAACAACAAAAATTTAGGTTATTAATGTATGGGATATACTCGTAAAATGTTCGTGTGGGAACGTGAACGAAAATTCTTTTTTTTTTTAAAAAAACCCGCGTGCTGTATAAAACAAAAAAGTGGACAAAAAAAATAATTAAGTCTCAAAATTAGAATATTAATATTGAATTCTTTTAATCAGAATGTTATATGATAATAATTATGTTACCTATACATGGTTATATTATGATTATCCTATTTGGCACAATTTTATAATTAGTAAATAAATAATAATTACATATGATAATAAATTATATTGTGGATTATAAAATAATTCAAAATTATGATAAAATATTTATTAAAAGTTGATATATTGTCACACGAACTTCGATAGTGAAAGACGTAGGTATACTATAGATTAGCGTAGAACTAACGTGAAAACTGTGTATGGCTATAAATACTCACTAGGTGTATACATTTTCAGCTAAAACACGCCCGGCGTGTTAACGAAATCGTGTTTAGTCGGAAATATCTTTAAAAAATCGATCCGATAAAAAATTATAGGTACATAATGTTGGGAACGAAAACGTTTCACTAATTAGTAACCAATATATAATAATTTGGAGTTTTTAGTTTAGAACTACCCAACGACCCAAGATCGGTTGTTAACTAAACGGTGTCTACGTCAACTAAGTGGTTATATATATCTATATCTATATCTATATCTATATCTATCTGAATTATTTTAAATTCCAAATATCAAAGTTATTACGAATTTACCACTAGGTAATTAACAACTAATATAATTCTGAAATTATTCATCAATGGCAAATTCTATATTATTTTCATTTTAATTTTCAAATATATATGTGCAGTTTTTAACAACTAATATATTTTAATTTCATAATTGAATATGTTTTTTTAATGCAACAACTTCACTGCCCTATTAATTATTATCTATTGATATCATTGTATATGTTAGATTTTTAAGTTATAGGGGTATTATCAAAGTCAGTGACTTCTCTCCTAAAATAATATCATTTTACACCACCTCTCTCTTATTTCGCTCCTGCCTAAATTTTTTATTTGTCACCCGAAATTCCAACAAAATTATTGTTAATTTTTAATGTATTATCTACTACTACATTTCCGGTAAAATACTTTTAATTTACGTATATGCTCATTACTACATTTTTGTGATTATTTTCTATTGCATTTTTTATTTCTAATTAATAAGTATATTACTTTAAGTGAATAAATCGATAAATAATATAATACCTACAATAACAAGCTCGTAGTCTTCGAATACCAACGCGATCGCTATTGGTCGCCTGTCAATTAATGACTTTTGTCGAGCTAATAGGTGCGAAAAAAAAGCGATATTCTGTTTGCTAATGATCCGCGTGTAATGTGTCCATATATATATTATATACGACACTCGGCAGTGTTATTAACTTTCACACGGTCACCCGCCGCGCCGCAACTCACAACAAATGCACACTACCTATCTTCTTTTATGTTTTTCACTGCTATTTTATTATTATTATTATTTCGACTCGTAACTACTACGAATGTACACGACGCGCGACGACACCGTTAGGAGAAAAAAAATCATTGTTTAAGTAACCGAACCGTAAAACATTATCGATCCCTATAGGTACAACATACCTAATTTGATAATAATAATGGTAATATAACATCGTACTTACGGAGTGTTATAATACGTTCAATATAATATTATACACATACAGAATGATTCACCGGACGTGTTCAAACCGATTATTTGTTTAAATAGTTTGTTGATTAGTTCGAATTCTGAATTGAATAATTTTTTTAAGCATACAAGTGTCCCATGGACATCTGACATTCTAACAAATGAAACAACTTTTGTTCTAATCAGGCTTCTGCCCCTCCCTTGGCTTTTTTATGGGTTAATTATCATAATCACTATATGCTATGTAGTATAAAATATCACAAAATATTTTTTTTAAATAAAAACATTTTTTGAAACGATGAGTAATCCGCGATTACCATCACGCGCACCCGACCTCCTGGACAGCACTATCTACTAGTTAACTTTGTAGGTAAGTAGTAATAAACTTGTATGCATTAGTAACTATCTCAACTATTTGGATCGATCTACTTTTATTTGTAACCTTAAAATCATTATCATCATTGGTGCTCCCGAGCTACGGTTTAAATATATTCAAAAGAATCTAACTTCTTCCCTGAATATAGGTATTTAACTGTTCATTACCAATCACGTTACATATTTGGACACTTATTTAATTTTTTTTAATTTTATATTATTTTATTATAAATTAAATTATTTATTTTAGTCGACAAATGTTATGTGGATCTTTGTCATCGGTTTTTGATGCACTGTTTCGACTTATATATTATGTGAATATTAGTAGAATCTCGTGATTTCACTGGTATCATTGACTATAAATACTAAAATACTATTATACTAGTCAATCAATTTTTTTTTTTTTTTTTTTCATAACCTACCATAACTGTAAGTCTGTAACTAATGGCCATAGTTGCCGAGTTTATTGGATGATCAATAAAAAATATATATATAATATAATATAATTATATAATATTATTTGTGTTGCTATACTAATTGACGGAAAAAATAATATTGATTTGTTTTAATGATATTTAAATAACCGATTACAACAAACAATTGAGAACAAATAGTTGACCTACCAAATGGTTTGGTAGTTTTTTATTTATTTTATAGAAGCTACAAACATTTAATTTTATAAATAACCTAAACTTATCAAGTCAATGATTACATTTTATTTATATAAAAAAAATGCATTTGTTAAGATAAAGTTGCACGTTACTTGATTAAAATTAATACCGTAAGATTAAGTTCCAACACTTCCGACTATACACATAATTCATAATTTAATTTTTACATTCCATACCTATATGATAGAACTCGTCAAAAACAATATAGTACTTTATCACCAATCAGATAATAAAACAAAAATTTAAAAATGTAAATACCTTGCCCTCCCCTTGACAAATTCCTGCGGACGCCCTTGCTTGTATGTAGATCGTCGGACAGCAGTACAGCACCTAACCTAAACTATATACTCACGGAGTATTATGATGACAATACGGGATGGCACGCGAGAAAACGCGTATAATATAATGTATGACAATTCGATTGGGTCTTTAGTATAATATAATACGTCGTACAACACAAAGAAAAACACTTTAGTTCGGACCGCAATCTCTCCCGAATAGGTAAATCTCCGGTGCTGCGTAAACAATCACACCTCTGAAATCGCTTTTCGTATTACACAGCGGTGGGTATAGGTACACTGGTGCTGCACAGGACGGGCAAACGATCTACGTCGTCGTAATACTTTATAGGTATATATTTATATATTTACACGGGGAGACGCGCATTGTGGGTACACGGACCACTCGAACTGCGGGTAGGCAACAGTTGAGATTTGAGATATTATAATATAATATTATTAGGTATCATCATCCGATTGTGGAAGACCTCATACACGCCCGCTGCACGCGATCGTCGTTTATCCAACATTATTTTTCTATCATTGTCGGTATATGAGACGCCATACATTAATATTATAGGTACCTACTACAATATTAATTAACCGTTAATTATTATTATTGTTTGTTAATTGATAGTATTTAAAAMGAGCATACGCCTTTTTCACGCATAGTTTTATGCCATGACTCGTGCATTATAATAATGCGTTTCAACATATGCAAGTGCATTGAAACGAAACGTCTAAGACTGATAACTGATATCTGCTATAACTATTAACCGAACATCACGAGCCCAGTGTTTGATTTAAACAATTTTGTCGCTTTTAACAGTCTACGCAGCAGGTCCGCGGGGTGCGCACACCAACGGTTCGGTGTGTATACTACGATCTTGAGTGTGTGTGTGTGTGCGCGCGCGCGT